ATGGTGGGAGAGAGAAGATGTCTATTTCTCTAAAATCTGTACACCCCCCCATGAAATGTTATTTCCTATTAGTACTGGAACATAGTAGAAGGATTCATTCAAGAAGATCAAAATGACAACCGGCCGTCAGCGGCAAGGCCTCCAACATGCAAGGTGGTCAGTAGACACTCTTCCATTAGCAAACAGGTAGAAGATCACTCCCTGACCACTGCACTCCAACCTCATCTTTTCCTTCCATGCAGCAAAGCAGCCACAGCAGCTGCCTTCCTCTGCTAAGCCCCCCCGGGGCTGCAGGCTGAAGGGGGGCGGGGAGGGGACAGGAAGAACCATGCAAACCACAACTGTGTGTCATTCACAGTCATAAGCCTGCCTTGAGGCTCTGCACCCACGGGCCATTTTAAACCTCAGTCCAGTGGACGACCATGACGTTTGTCAGGGTTTGTGACCAAGTGACTATCACACCCGTGGGTGAAAAATATACACTCATCATTGTCCACAGCACAATCTAAAGTGAGGTCTTCTTTAAGACTCTGGAAGAATTCGAAGTCCAGCATCCTTTTAGGCTTCAGAGCAAAAAGAACATCTCAAATGTTCTTTCATTCATTCATTCATTTGCTAATTTATTTCATGTGCTATTGTGGGTCAGGTGCCCCATATTAGATGTTGAGATGGAAGAGGGAGGATGTCGGGTGAGATGGGTCTCTTCCACTGACAGCAATTCCCACAGAAGGACCCAGCTGGCATATCCCGTCCTTCCAGCCCCTGGGGGACCAGGGGAGAATCTGGGTGGCATGTCAGAGAGTACATCCCAAATGCCAACTAAGGACCGGTATTTAATAAACTAACCTGAACTTTCTTTCTCTGAATTAGATTATCATGAAAAGCAAATGTGGGAACATACCAGGTTCTCTTTAATGTTACCCTACAACTGATTCAATGTAATAAACAATTATTTAAAACTACCCTATGATAAATAACCCAGCAATCTAGCTACAGGCAAACAGGTAAACAAACTGTGGTATATTTACATAATGAGCTACTACTTGGCGCTAGAAATGAATGAACCCTGAACACGTGCTACGCCGCAGATGAACCTCAAAATAATTATCCAAGTGAAAGAAGCCAGACGAAAGAAAGTGCACACCGTATGATTCCATTTATGGAAACTTCTAGATAATGAAAAGCGAACCAATAGAGACAGAAAGCAGATCCGTGGGGGCTTCTGGATGGGAGATAGGGAGGGACAGGAGGAAACTTGCAGGGATGATTGGAATAGTCACCATCTTGACACTGATGAAGTGTTCATGGGTGTAGGCATGTGTCAAAATGCATCAAATTGTATACTTTTGGACAGGCAGGGTCATTATGTCAGTTACACCACAATAAAGCTATTTGGAAAACAACTATGCTGTGGAAGGATCAGTGCCAGGAACACCAAGGTAAGTGAAACTGTGCATTCAGGAAGCTAGGAGCCTAGCAAGGGAGAAAGATACATACTCAATTAATAGAATGCTAATCACAAGACAAACCAGTATGAGAAAAAGAAAAAAACAATTATGGGGCAAAGAAAAGGAGAGAGGTGATTTCCTTTTTTTTCTAGGAGTCCAGAGGACAGTAATGGCTAACCACATGCCAGAAACTATGCACAGTAACTTCTTTCATTCTTACAGCAACCCTATGAGTGGGTATTATCATTGTACCCATTTCACAGGTGAGGAAATAGGCTTTGGCCCCAGAATGCATGTTCTAGTCCCTACTCTTCTCTGAGAAGTGCCACATTTGATCTGGGCCTTAGAAGAGGACTAGAATCTCCCTAGATAGAGAAGGCCATTTGGGGCCGAGAGGGCCATATGAACTATGACCCAGTAAGACTATGACTATCAAAATGTACTATATGCTTGAAATACGGCAAGAAAGTTCTAGGAGCATATTTTGAGTTGGGGTAGAGAAGAGGGCTGAAAAGTCGATTGTGGTTAGGGTGTGAATGGCCTTCGATGATGTGCTGAAGAGTTTGGATGACAATCTTCAGGCAGAAGGAAGCCACTGGAAGTTTCTGAGCAGAAGAATATTCGTGTTTTAGAAGAAGAATGGGAAGAAAACAGAAAATCTACCTGTCTGCAGTTAAATGAACACCTGGAACATTTCTTGGAAACTGATTCACAGGTGTGGCACTAAAATCACATTAAATCAATAGATTTGGGCTGAACTACACTGTAATTTTAATTTCAACCTCAGGATATTTTATTCTCTGGTAACCTGAGTCCTATGTTCATTCTGTTTTCACCTATGTTTCCATACATTTTTACCCAACAATGAAAATTACAGAAAATCACCCCTGGAAAAGAGAGAAGCAGGGGCACCTGGGTGACTCAGTTGGTTAGGCATCCCAACTCTAGATTTTGGCTCAGCTCATGATCTCAGGGTTCTGGGATGGAGCCCTGCATCAGGGTCCACGCTCAGTCAGGAGTCTGCTTAAGGAATCTCTCCCTCCTCTGCCCTTCCCCCAGCACTCATTCAACTCTCTCTCTCTTTCTCAAATAAATAAATCTTTAAAAGAGAGAGAGAGAGAGAAGTAAAGTAATCCTTCTCCAGGACTCTATCTGAATTTAATTCACAACTGGACCAAGATTTCTTCCCACTGGCTTAAAAGGAAAAGTCCCATGCTGACATTTTTACTTCTGTTTCCTGTAAAAGTGGTTTCTGACCTCCTCATACATTCGAGTTAGAAGATAAGCTCATGATCTGGAAAATGAGTATCTAGGTCCAGACAAGATGTTGGCGCCATGCTGGCCCATGTGATATTACCAGAAATAAACTCCTTGCCCTCTGTGCTTCGACAGGAAGCATTAGGAGATCCTATAAGGAACAGCACTCTTCCAGGTGAAAATGTGAGAAATTATCAACTAACCAAGGGCAATTCACATCTTCCATGGAAGACCCAAAAAGACACTGTGTCCCCCGTTCCTTGGACTTTCTTAAAGAGGTAGACAGGGTACAAAAAGAAGGCACCACCCTAAAGCAAGGACATGGCAATCACAGGAAAACTGAATGCTTAGACACCATAGAGCCTTAAATATGAAACTGGAAGTACCTGGAGGAATTTCATGCAAAAAAAAAAAAAAAAAAAAATCCAACCAAAGACTGAAGTCTTGTCTTGTCTTCTCAGCTCTGCCACTAACTGTAATACTCCAAGCAAACCATTCAGTCCTCTATTTTTTAAAAAAAATGGTAGGATGCAACTTATCCATTCCCTGTTTCCATAAGTAAGTCCGTATATGTCAAAAGAGTCAACAAGCAATTTATGGAGAATCCCGTCTGACCTCAGCCACACCAGCTGGTAACAGAGTGAGGGTTAGCTCCTAGATGTCTTGATTTCCGTTCCAGAACGCTGTCCGTGTTGCTCAAACTTGACTTATGATACCCCAAAGAGCTTGTTAAACACGCAGGTGGCTCCTCATTCAAGTGAGAGTCTGATTGAATCACTCCGGGGCTCACCCTAGCCGACTGCATTTTTTGGCTGGAGGCCCAAGGCCTTTATATCATCATACAATTAGGGAAACGTTACCTTCTATCATGCTATGCCCTACAAGGAAATTCTATTTTCTCTCCTCTTTTCATTCTATCTGTTAAAATAGGTAAAATATTTGAGAGGCACCTGGGTGGTCTGGTCGGTTAAGCGTCCGACTCTTGATTTCGGCTCAGGTCATGATCTCAGGGTCATGGGATCAAGCCCTGCATCAGACTCCAGGCTCAAAACAGAGTCTGCTTGAGATTCTCCCTCTCCCTCTCCCTCTGCCCTCCCTTTGCTCACACACCCTCTTGCTCCCCCTCTCTCTCAAATAAATAAAATCTGTAAAAAAATAAAAAGGTAAAATATTTGAAAGATATTTTTGATGGATAAAATTTTCTCTACCAAAGGTATCAACAGATTTACAGAGTAATAGTGGTCATTTTTGTTTTTAAGTTTTATTCCATTATTTTGTAAAGTAATCTCTACACCAAGTGAGGCTTGAACTCACCACCCCAAAATCAAGAGCCACATGCTTTGCCAACTGTCCAGCCAGGTGCCCCCTCATTTTAATTAGAACCAGTGAATATGATTTCCTCTATGATTTTCCAAACATTGCAGTCTAGACTATTTTTTAACCATAAATCTATTAGTATTCTGCTGTGTGGCCTAGAAACAACGAAATAGTGTATCTCAATTTGCCCAATTAATGATGATTAAATACCAAAATGGTACATTTGTCTATTGTCACCCCTCACTAGATCATATTCTCCTTTATCGTTAAGATATTTATCTTTTTAAATTTATTTTTTTAAAGATTTTATTTATTTGAAAGAGAGAGACCACAAGCAGGCAGAGAGGCAGGCAGAGAGAGGGAGAAGCAGGCTCCCTGCTGAGCAGAGAGTCCGATTCAGGGCTCGATCCCAGGACCCTGAGATCATGACCTGAGCCCAAGGCAGAGGCTTAACCCACTGAGCCACCCAGGTGCCCCTGATACAGATTTTTTAAATGATCAGATAATGTGAGTGGATGAATTCTACCCTTGAAACCATTATACACTGTTGTCAGAAATGAAAAACAAAGGTTTAGCAACAATCGTCCTGTTATCATTGTCTAAGACATCAGAAAAGTGACAACAAGGTCACATCACCACGCAGGGAAATTTTAATCTCTCTCCCACCCCTCCTCCCCGCAAAGTCTTACAACCTAGCTGATTTACCAGTACTACCCACGTGTGGCAGAATGACCTGTGCCACCAACACATCATTCACACCTCTCCACAATCGCGATGACACATGCTGTCCCCTAAATGTTCCACCCGGAGGTAGTCTGGGGGCAGCGAGCCAAGAGGGGGCTTCCAGAGCCAACGGAGGCGTTGAGACACATGAGGTCACAGAGCTGCTGCCTCTCCCCCTTCAAAAGAAACCACTCTGCTCCCTTTATTTCAGAATCTAGAGGAAGTTGACAAAGTGTGACAACAGCTCGGCACAACATGTGGTGGAGATTTTGCAGCTTGCTGGCCTGGTTCCCCTTACAAGGTAAGGACTTTGGGCTCATTTCTTATGAGACTCAGCTGACCTGGTACTGTACCAAATCTACCTGTCAGTCAGTTGTATTCACAGAGGACCCACGACGGAGGAGAACCCAGGTGTGTATGTGATTACTTTCCAAGCTACACCCCAATCACACATGGAGGGGTGCTCCTGCTTTATTTAATCTCTTGTTCAATGGTTCGATTAGTGTTCAATACTAGTAAGTATAGAAAGGGTCACTGTAACCTGTGTCTCTGTGGCATCTATGTTATGGCAAAATGTCACAAGCTTATTGGGCTCTGTCTCTTAAGTGTATGCAAGGTGGACAAGCATCACAGTGGGATTTTATTTTTTTAAAGATTTTATTTATTTATTTGACAGAGATCACAAGTAGGCAGGCAGGCAGGGGTGGGGGGAAGCAGGCTCCCTGCTGAGCAGAGAGCCCGACGTGGGACTCGATCCCAGGACTCTGAGATCATGACCTGAGCCAAAGGCAGAGGCTTAACCCACTGAGCCACCAGGTGCACCCACAATGGGATTTTAAAAGCTTCCTTGCTGTATAAGCCTTAGCCAGGTAATTCAAATTCTCTAAAAACTCAATGTCTGAACTTAACATGGAGAGATGATTAATTATGTTCAACAGCGAAACTCCCTGGATTTTTAAAGGGATCAAATTTCAAAATGGGAAAGCACTTTGAGGATGACAAAGTGCTCTACAACTTTTCATTAGCTCAGAGATAATAATGAGCCCCATGGAAAATGCCTGCTTAGTTTTTGAGTCTGTGATAGTTTACATTGGATTTTCAAATCTGACTTTTGATGCTTCCTGAATTTGAATGTTGCATGATGAAAATTAGAGACGCTGTTACCTCTTTAGCACAGGTCAAATTATTCCTGCTCAAAAGGGGGGACAGGGTGTAGGAGTCTCTAAATCTCTCATTGCAACTTGTACCAAATTCTTACAAAAGAAGCTATGCCAAAATGTATTGCTTGCTGCCTGTGTGTGTTTCCAAATATTGAACTGAATTACAGTTAGCTTTCAGGGAATGCACCAATCCTAAAGCTACATTCGCCATAGAACTGCAGCTGAATGATCCCATTTTAAAAAACTAGATTTCCTATTTTATGTAGTATTTCAATTCCCAATTTTGTACACTTAGATTAAGTGCTTTCTTCTTTTGTTCTTATACTCTGAGGCACTTCCTATAAATTCAGTATTTGGTAATAAATAATATTAGTTTCTTCAATAAGTGGCTTAAAGTACAGCTCATACATTCAGGAAAAGTACATTCAGAGAGCCAAAATTAGAATGTTCTCAATTCTTCCAAAGTTTAAAGCCCTTTACTGACTTTCACTTTTTGAGGATTCAAGTTGTTGCCTCCTAAAAATATCTCACAAAAAAAGTTTTTAAAGAAAAACAATAATAATCATGTCTTAAGGCAAAACCTAAAACAACTCTTTTAAAATATAAATTATTCAAATACTATTTATAAAGGGAGGAGAAAAATATATTTATGTACCATGTAAGGGGTGGGCATTTTATATTAATTATATTTCATCCTAGCACAGATACTGAGGTATTAATATCCCTACCCCAATTTACATGAGAAAATGGAGTTTAAAAGAAGTTAGATAACCCACCCACATTTTTACAGCTAGTAAATCAGCCTGCACAGCATATAAATAAGAATTATCTCATGAAGCATTTACTCTGTGTGTGTGTGTGTGTGTGTGTGTGTGTGTGTGTGTCTTTCTACAAGGTTGGGATAAAAAGTGTTTCTTAATGTAGATCAAAAGTTTGAAAGCCACTGATTTATACAATTTGGAAGATATGCTATTGAAAATCCCAAACCGTAAACTCACCCAGAAGGCATCTAGGCTCAATGGCATTGGGCACACGTTGTCCCCTCTGACCTAACCTTGCTTGGGCCTGTCAGAGTCCCAAAGAGGAGGGAGCTGACCATATTGCTTTCTTGTTAACAAAAAGGCAGCGAATCAATTTTGGCAACACTATCCGTTGTCAGCTGTTTGTAGCTATGAATCATGGGAAGATCGCTGTACCTTCTACCATGCAACTTCTAAGGTTGCCAAGAACTATGGACTAAAAAATTCTGTAATCTCTTTTCAAGGTCACTATCCACCTAAATAGCCTCTAGGATTGGTAAGATACACTAAGAATGAACAATTTTTCAAAATTAATCCCATTCAGCTATATTGTGGATGATGAAAACCCACCAGTTTGAACCTTCTATCCTGGTCTTCAGGGCAGGGTAGGATGCAGGAAACGAAGAACAGTTGCAAATTTAAGGTTCTGTTGATAATCCTTTTGCCTATGTTTGTTGTTTTTAACCATGAAAAAGTCCCATGTTTGTTGACATTCTGAGATGCCTTCTTGAAAGCCATACTGGAAATAATTTTGACAAAGCCAGATTCATCTTCACCCTTCTAATTTTCTCTGTTGAGTTTATCTAAATAATAATAATAATAACAATAACAGCAACAACAACAAGCCTTTTTTATAATGATCTAAATGGAAGCATTTGTCTACTACCTCATAACAGTCATGTAAATAGGGCTCTGATTTGAGACAATCATCCTGATTTCAACTTAGCTCATGTCTTTCTTATGCAACATAACAATAACAGAGCTGAATTGGAATCCTGTTACACTGTTTATTACTGGATATATAAATGTCCACATTTTAGCCATTAATTCAACTAATACTTTAAAATCTTTTCTTTTTTTTTAAGATTGTATTTGAGAAAGAGAGAGAGCATGAAAGAAAGAAAACAAGACAAGTGGGGGGAAGGGAGAGGGAGAAACCTACTACTGCTGAGCAGGGAGCCCGATGCAGGGCTCGATCCCAGGACCCTGAGATCATGATCTGAGTCTAAGGCAGACACCCAACTGACTGAGACACCGAGGCGCCCAATACTTAAATGTTATTTGAAAAAAATTAAATAAAATAAAACTTACTTTGTGTGAAGTCCTGGGACTGTAAAAATGAGTGAATGCCAAACGACTTCTCTATGAGAAGTTTGCTATCTCCACACAAAGATACTTGTAACCAAATGTAAAGCACTGGGCTAAGTGCTGTAATAGAAGTCCCTTCAGGGAGCTGGAGGAAAGGGCAGGTCATTGTGGGGAAGAAGAAGGCTAAAGACTGGTTAGGCAGTGGTATAATTTGAATTGAGTCTTAGAGGAGATAAGAAAGCTATCCTGGCAGTGGTGCCTGGGTGGCTCAGTCAGTTAAGTATCTGACTCTCGATTTCAGCTCAGGTCATGATCTCGGGGTCGGGAGATGGAGCTCTGTATCGAGCCCAGCATCAGGCCCCACTTTGGGCTCCTCACTGGGCATGGAGCCTGCTTAAAATTCTGTCTCTCTCTCCTTCTCCCTCTGCCCCTCCCCCTCTTTAAAAAAAAAAAAAAAAGGTATCCAGGTCAATAGAACAGCATGGACAAAGGCCAAGTGTCTTCTTGAGCCTGGACCTGGCCACGGCTGATAATCACATTAGATACGAGCAAACAGCGGAACGGAGTGGGTGGTCTCTCTGCGCCAGGTGTGTGTGGAGCCTAGGGGGACACTAGAGATGATGCGTTCTGATGGGATCTGACAAGTTTGGGGTCTCTGCGGGATAGACTCGCTCTGTTCTGGAGTTATTTAATTTATTGGATGCAATCATTGGGATACTAAGGTAAGGGGGGAAAAAAGGTACATTTTACTCTTTCTTCAGTCTACCATGATAACCTCTAGTAGAGGAGAGATCAGACACTGCGACTCTGAAAATCTTGGGGAAAACAAGGAAATCGTAAGAACTGCCCAGGTTTCATCTATGTATGCTTTGGCGGGTGGTTGGGACTGCTGCTTGCCCTTTTGACTGAGGGTCGGTCACACGTGCTTCTGGGTGAAGCCACTGCCAGGAGGTTGGGGGTGGAGATTATGAAGGTCACAGGTTCTACTTCCATCTATAAACCGGTCACAATCCATAACCCCAGAGTCAACCAGCAGCCTCAGAACACATGGCCTCGCATGGATGGATGAAACTAGTCAGAAGTCCATAACCCATTCAGTAAACAAGATCCACCAGCAGTAAGGGGGGACCTCCCAGGAGAAACTCCACGGTTATTCCCTGCCCTGCTTTGCACGCTTGGCCTCTGAGGAGCCACAGAGGGCCAACAGACAGACTGGAGCTCTGAAGCCCAGCTGGGGAGCCTAGGAAGTAGGCACACCGCACTCAGGAGCTACACGGGAAAGTCGAGGGGTGCATAGGGATATGTTTTTAGAGCCTGCAGGGGAGGAAGTGGTGAGCAAAGAAGGTAACCCACACCCCTCCCTCTGACAAAGAAGGTGAAAGTTGGACTCCAAACTTAGATGCAAAAAATATATATATAAAAGAGGAGTTCCGGTTTAGTTTGCAACAGCAATGAGAGAATCCTGGAGAACTTCCCCCTTGGAAGACGTACCATCAAAGCACAGGTACAGGGATCTTCTTCCAATGTTTAGCAGAGCTCGACACACCGAACGGTATCTGGGAGCGCTCACAGCTGAAGCAGCCTGTCTGTGGCTTCTCTCTGGGGCTATTCTTCCTTTCTACAATGATTTCCTGTCTCTCAATCAAACACGGGGTCTACATGCTAACTGAAAGAGAAATCAGCCTGTAAAGCTAAAGGCGAGGCTTGGAACAGAGTAGAGGATACAGCAATCATTCTATGCCTCGAACACAGCCCTTTCTACGGGAAACCCAGGCTTTTGTAGCTGTAATCAGTAGCCTGGGACTCAGTTCCCAACAACAGAAGCAAACACTGATTTTAGGAAATACGATTTTTTTTTTTTAATTTATTTGACAGATAGATCACAAGTAGGCAGAGAGGCAGACAGAGAGAGAGGAAGGGAAGCAGGTTCCCCGCTGAGCAGAGAGCCTGATGCGGGGCTCGATCCCAGGATCCTGAAATCATAACCTGAGCCAAAGGCAGAGGCTTTAGCCCACTAAGCCACCCAGGCGCCCCAGGAGATACGATTCTTTCGCTTCTGCTAAAAAGCCACCTTATATGTCATTACAATTTCTTAAACACTATAAGAATCAAATAACAATTTAATTCAAAAGCACATATCCCAAGAAAAAGGCATCTTTAAAGTGGAAGACATTTATTCATAAACAATCTGCAGATAAATCCCGACACTCCCCCTTCCCCAGACGCGGGCTTCCTGTCTAGACAATGGCTTTGCCAAAGGTAAGGACATGGACAAAACTTTTTAGTATCAACTTCTGGCCTGAGGGATGAAATTAGGGCATGTTGCTTTGACAGTGGTCTTTATTCTGTCATTGATTCAACATAGTAACTTCCCTCCTGTCTCTCAGTATTCTTATTAACAACAGGAGACCAAAGATGCCTGTCCATCGCCTGCTTTATGCTGCCATCAAGAGAGCTGGCACTAAACCATTACTTTTCAAGCTCACACTGTGATACTTTCTATAAGGAATGAATTTTAGAGAAGTAGAAAATAGTCTCTGCCCTCTAGAAACTTCGATCTGTGGGAAGCAGGATAATGCACAAGAAGGAGAAAGTAAAAAGCAAGAATCAAGATGGGAATGACTATGGAAGTAATGGAAGGTAGATGGTTCTAGATTCAATTTCTTGGCTCGGAAGCTCCTTAGCCTTAGAAGAAAATCCATTGTCACTTCAAAGTATCTCCACTAATATTATCTTTGCTACTCAGTTACGGGTTGATTTTATAGATGAAAATACTTCCAAATGACCCGACCCAAGCAGAATTCTGGGCTTATGCTTCAATGCTCTTATGAAAACACAGTATCTTTTTATGGACTCTTCATTGTTCATTAGTATTGGCTGATGATTTGGGTATTTTTCCATCAGAACTCCAGCAAACTTTTTTCCCGTGAAAGTCAATAAGAATACAGTACAATTCTGGGTTATTATTGCCAGAGGCTAGATTGAAATTAATGACCTAGAAATGGAACAAACTAAAAAGTCCAAAGCACTTTTCCTAATGCTTGAAATTTATTACAAGGAAATAAAATCCTTGTTTCTCTCTCTCTCTCTCTCTTTTTAAGGTTTAAGATGATACAGTGAAACTCATTATATCTGGTATTCATAATTTATAACCCCACAGCATTCTTCTGTTTATAGAAGTGCTTCGTACTTTCATTGATAAGAACTGTCTAGTCCTCGGGGAGGGGCGGGGGGGAGGTTTTTTTTAAACTTAAGACTTGAAGAAATAGCAGATGGCAATAAAAGTGCCAAATCAGCAATAAAGCCCATTTATTTTATTTTTTTATCCATTTCCTTTTTGGGAGATTGCATTTACAGCTGTTAACAACCCACTGTTTATCATTCTCTGGGGGTCGTGACTGGGGGAAATTAGATGCTCATGTTTGCCTGGAGAAAGTGTTGCTATGGACACCTGAACTGGAAGAGATCTTAGAACATCCTTCCTCTGGTGTAGAAGCTCTTTTGCAGGTAGGGCTTACCTACTCCCCATAAAAACCACTTGGAATCCTAGACACCTAACTTGTACTTAAAGCCACAAGTCACTTGTTTCAAGGTTGAGGCCAGAAACAAGTGTTTCTGGGGTCTCCTCATTTGGACAATCTGACCTAGTTACATGACCATGGACTCTGAACACAGACATGGGTACAGACCCCAACCTGTGTGACCTTCAGCCTCTATTTCCTCATCTAGAGAACCAACAACATCATTCTTTCTTTATAGGGTTAGTTCAAAAGTTAAATTAAATACAGGTGAATGTGGCCTGGCAGAGTTCCTGGCATAGGAGAGAGCAAGTGCCTAATAGATACTGTTCAACATTTTCCTTCTTTCCTATCAAAATCCCACCCCTTCATTCAGACCTCCTTCAGGAGGCATCTCACTGCCCCTACGTACAGTGCTTGCTCCTTTGTATTGATTTATGTTTTGTTTCTCTAAGAAGTGTGTAATGAGAGGCACTTGGGTGACTCATTCGGTTAAGCATCTGACCCTTGATTTTGGCTCAGGTCATGATCCAGGGTCGAGAGATCGAGCCCCATGTTGGGGTCCACTGCTTAAGAATCTCTCTCCCTCTCCCTCTGATTCTGCCCCTCTCCCCCTGAGTCTCTCTCTCTCTCTCGCTCTCAAAAAAAAAAAAGTACATAATAAATGAATAAATGACTAATGAATGAATAAGGTTGTGTTGAGAATAAGTCCCTGCCTCAGCTCGGGAGTGTGTCTTGGCCTATGCCAGCCTGACTGTCCCCAATTCTCTTCCTCTGCAGAAGCCTTTCTGACTAACCACACAGAAACAGTCACCGTGGAGGAAGGCCAGACGCTCATTCTGAAGTGTGTTGTTTCTCAGGGGAAGACCACCTCCCTGCAGTGGCTGGCCCCCTCAGGGTTCACCATTTTTTTAAATGAGCATCCTGGTAAGTGAAAGAAAAAAAAAAAAAAATCGCCACCAGACCTCAACCTGTGGGATTTTCCAGACAGACAAGTTGGTGGGATAGAAACCATCATGAGTCACCCATACGGTGGGCTTGGCCCCCCTACTATTACGTGGGGATCACACCCAGAGACCTACTACTTTACACATGGCTGCTTTTTCTGACAGGAAGTCTGAAAGGGAAACCCCACCAGAATGGTTGGTAAAGGGGGCTCAAGTTACAAAGCACATTTCCATGCCCACATCTCACCCCCACGTCACTCTTTTCCTCTCAGCAGCCATGAAACTGCCAACAGCACCAATGACAGTCAGGCCACAGACAGACTTGAGGCCTTTTGTCCTCCCGCAGCTCACGCTGTCACCCCACATCTGGAGCCAGCTGCCTCATTTCCCATCTGAGCGATTCAAAGCCCCATCACAAAGCTCCCTTCCAGATCTCTCCTTTTCTCCTGTTGTTCTCAACACAAAACCAAGATCACTGAGCAACTGAGGAGCAGACATGGCGCACTACCTTGGAAGGGAGGGCCGCCATTCCTGTTTTCACAGACACAGGTTGAGTCCCAGATGCCTGAGGTGGAAAGGGAATCCCCCACCCCCAACACTGCCAGTTTTATTGACATGTAATAAACACATAGCACCGCGTTAGTATGAGGCATACAATGATCTAATATTATGTATATACTGCAAAATAATTGCCACAGGGGGTCTAGTTAACATCCATCACCCCACACAGTCACAATGGTTTTGTTTTGTTCTTAAGGAAAGGGATTCTTAAAAGTCTATTTAGTTCCTCTCTTTGGGCAGGATTTTACTAACCCCTCCTCTTCCTAATGAGACCATTGTATACCTCCATGTAATATTCTGAATGGCCAAATATTTGGAAAAGTCTCCAAAACAGCAAATTTCATTCTATCTTGTAAAAGCAGAGCCTCTAAAAAACTTGATATGCTCCGAAACAGTTTTTTAAAGATTTATTTATTTTAGAGAGAGAGAGAGGGAGGGAGGGTGCATAAGCGGGAAAGACAGAGAGAGAGGGAGGAAATCTCAAGCAGACTCTGCACTGAGCGTGGAGCCCAGCACGGGGCTTGATCCCAGGACCCTGAGATCACAACCTGAGCGGAAAGCAAGAGTCAGAAGCTCAACCAACTGAGCCACCTAGGTGTCCCATGCTATGAAACATTATTAAATATCTTTATGTTTGATGTAAACGTACCATATATTTCAAGCTAAATTAACTATTAATAGTAGAATCCAGTAAAGAAAGTAGATGTTAATTGTTGAAAGTTCTGAGAGAAACAGTTTGAATAGAGATCATTCCTGTTAAATAATGTTTTCTCTTGGTTTGGTTTGGGTTTTAGTAACCTGGGAGAAGACGGGCACTCTCAAATTCCGCCAACAGAGAACCTTGGTTGAACTCGGTGATGCTCAAGCAAGGGTCATTCTTGCCTTCCAGGGGACATATGGCAATGTCTGGAGAGAGTTTTTGTGTTGTTATAACTGGGGAAGGGGGGCCGGGGGGGCAGTCCTAGCATCTAATGAGTAGAGAGGATTGCTGCTAAACATAGTGTACAAGATAGCCCCCACAACGAAGAATTAAGGACTCAAAAGTCAATAGTGGTGAGCTTGAAAATGCCTGAAATCTAGCTCAGATAATGCCAGTGTCCCAGGACACACAACCATTCTTTCAGATGAGAAACAACCTTCCTTGGTCAGCCATTCAGGGTTTAACTATGTTACGCTTGTTCATGTTACAAATCCAAAGAAAGAGAGAGAGAGAGGGAGGCAAAACCACTTATTTCAGGAGCCTCTGATTTGCTAAGGGACCTACGACCTAAGATAGAAATCCCAGGTCAACACAGAATCAAAAAACAAAACAACAATAACAACAACAACCCCAAACACTTGCCATAATCTTCAGGAAACTTCAAATAATAATAAATTTCAAAAAATTAAAAATAAAAGGAGCACCTGGCTGGCTCAGTAGGTAGAGCATGCAACTCTTGATCTCAGGGTTAGGAGTTCAAGTTCCACATCGTGTGTGGAGATTAACTTAAAACCAAAATCTTTAAAAATAAAAAGCACCCAAATGGAGAAATGGATAGTCACGTGTTAATTTTCCATTCTTTACATCCATTGTGACAGGACAACCTCAAATCAATTAGATTTCAAGGAGGTGACTCTAATGGGGTGAATCTAATTTTTCATAATGTACAAAAAATTGAAAAAAAATTAATCACCCCTCAACCCGAACCCTTCACCAGCATAGTGTTAATTTCCTACATGCACAAATAAAGCAAACGGTTTATTTCGCAGATCCCAGTATCAAAATATTTCATTTCCTAAATGAATGTCGAGCTTTTGAGAGGCATCCAACTGGGAACACTAGAATTTGGAAGGCAGCTCAATCGGAGATGTGACATTTGTTCCGCGAAAGTGTGAAATTCAAAAGCCATTCCTGTGAACAATCAACCCACTGAGAGACTGTATTCATCTGATCACTTTCTTCCTAACAGCTCTTTTTCCCTCTTGTCCAGCTTTAAAAAATCCCAAATACCAGCTTCTTCATCACTCCACCCATCAGCTTTCCATCAGCGTGCTTAATGTCGCCCTGCAAGATGAAGGCGTGTACAAGTGTTTACATTACAGCAACTCCGTGAGAACAAAGGAAGTAAAAGTAATCGTGTTAGGTAAGTGTCTGATGGCCGGCAACCCAGCACATGAGCGACAGACTTAGGACGGGACAGACCATTCTTAAACTTCACATTCTAGTTAGTAATATTGCCTAGAGCAAAGCATTTTCTTGGGCACCTCTACCATCTTTTGTCAAAAGGAAAACAGAAAGGAGCATTTTGACTCGCGAGCCCCAGATGAAAATGTGACTTTGTGAAATTTGTCTTTGGTATCAATGCCGTTTCTTGACCAAGGAAGTAAGAGAAAGGAGAATTAATCCTTGATAAGCTGCTACTATGCGCCAGGCACTGTGCTAAGCTCCAGGGGATCAAAGAGGAATCGGGCGTAGCCCCTGCCTAACAAGGAGTTGGCACACGGGTCAAGGTAGGAAGAGAATCCTGTAAATAAAGTAGAAGCTAACAACAGCATAAGCTAAGATAGAGTGAATTCAGATGTAATTGCACTGGACAGCTGGCTCACATCCTCTGCCAAAACCAGGTCCTCTCTTCCAGTGGGGAATGGGGTTGGGAGGTGTGGACAGGAAGCACTGGTCTTCTGACTGCCCAGGGCTGGCTCCATTCTCTGGACGGTCCGCTGTGTTCAGTGTAAGCCTTACTGTCTTTACTTTTCTGCTTTTTGTGACGGAACAGATCAATTATAAACATCACTTTTTATTGATCTCTAATTCAGATCAATTATATATACACATCACTTTATATAGAGCTCTAAGTGACATAATTCCACAAATCACAAGTGAATGTCTTAGGCTTCTTCTGTTGAATTAATGTAGCATGGTGCCTGCCATAAAGCAAAGGCACAGTAACGAAGTATCTGGGAAGGCTCCCGAGGCAGGTTGAGACCCAATGGGACCCAGCCCACCTTACTGGCCAGCGCCCACAGCACTCTGGCTCACGCTGCCTGTGTGTCCTTCTGGGCTCTTCTCCCAGTCCCTGCATACCTCTGTCACTACACTTACCGCATGATCTTTTAACTAACAGCTTAGGGACTGAGTCTATCACTAGACTGTCAGCTCCTCAAAGGGCTTTATCTTTTCCTTATGTGTACAGCCCGCATCTAATGCATCTAGTATCTACTTGCAGCTGACTTTGCAATGTCTCAATGGCAGATAAATGATCCAATCAATGTGCTGGGGTGCAGTTCTGGACCAAAGTGTGAAGGTGCATGGGAAAGAGGAAGAAGGTAGCCTACCCAAAAAGTGCACCTTGACCCTTGAACCGCACAGGTTTGAATTGTGCAGGTCCCCTTATATGCAAAGTTTTAAAATAAATACATTCCGGTACTATAAAGGTTTTTTCTCTTCCTTATGATTTTCTTAATATTTTCTTTTCTCTAGATGACTTTCTTGGAAGAACAGAGTGTAGAATACATAAAACATAGAAAACAGGTGTTCATCAACTGTGTTATCACTAAGGCTTCCCATCAACAGTAGGCTCTTAGTTGAGTTTGGGGGGACTCAAAGTTATGCATGGATTTTCAACTGTGCGGTGGTCAGGAGAAGTGTCAGCGCACCTAATCCCCACATTGTTCAAGGGCCAACTCTATTTCCAAGACAGGAGTATGAAAAAAAGGACAACTGGGCCCTCGATAAGAGAAATGCATCTTTAATATTAGGAGGGGATAGAACTCACTCACTTTGAGGTGAGTCATACACTCATGCCAGTCTAGAATTGAACCGACACTCATAAACCAATTCCTTCGTGACATAGACAAGGAAACTGACCCACCAAGATATGGAGGGACACACAAGGGTTCTTACAATAACTGGTAACCGATGTAACTAGACTAGTGTTCTCCCAAACACAGTCAAATAGCAAATGTAAAAATTACTGTTGTGACACTGGGAATTTCCAGGGACTAATCACACACTGGGTGACAAGCAATATGGACTAGAGCCAAGGTAGGTTTACAAGTACATAAAAGCCCTTTAACTGTATTCTGGGAAAGATCAAGTAAAAAAAAAAAAATGCCCATTATTTAGACCATACACTACCATGATCCCTATAGACTATTAGACTCCGTGCTTTACTGGGATACGCAGACCAGCTCAGTGAACACAGAAAAATTAATTTTCTTCCAGCAACACCTTCCATACCAACCCTGGAAGCTTCAGTTATCAGAACGCAAGACGGAAAAGAACACGTTACCCTTAAATGCTCAACCGTGAGAAGTAAGCCCCCTCCGCAGATAACCTGGATTATAGGGAATGACATAGAGCTCAATGGTAAGGACAGTGTTCTCTTTCCTCCTTTGTTTTCCTTCCTACGGCAATTTCCAAGGAATTTTTAAATCCTCTGGCACCCTCTGGTGGTGTCAGCGGCGGCAAAATAGCTTTCAACAATCCGTCGGATTTTTCTGGACAAATTATCTTTATAACCTATCGATACCGTGCCTTCATCTTGAAAACCTATCACAAATAATAGGATTAGATGTTTATACTTAAAAGAAAGTGGACACCTGAAATTGGATATTATGGTTTCTTAAAATTCAACAGAATTTCGTATATAGGTAGGATATAGTTATTATTCTGGCAGATAAGATCCTGCTGAAAAAGTGCGTTACGATGTCATGCCCTCAACAAAATTATTATGGTACCAAAGAATCTAAACTTTGATTAGATTAAAGCAGGGTTCAGTTGATGGAAGGATAACTAATGGTCACGTTTGGGAACTATTTAGAGTTTCTTTACATCGTAATGTATGTTACATTGGACTTTACACACTCAGAGAGAGATTCCGTCCAATGCCAATTCTACATCATTACAAGACCTCACCTTTCATTTGCCTGATCGATTCACCTTGAGTAAGGTCTTGGGTCTTTGTGTTTGACAACATCAGGCTGTCCCTGTGTCATCACCATAAGCTTTGGATTTCATTTTCCAGTAGTGAAGGTTAATAGAAACCTAACCACTGTCCTTCACCTGCTTCCCTCTGGGACTGGGGCCAAGCATGCACAAGGCAGCTGAGCGAACCTAGAATGACTTAGAAGTCTAACAGGTTCACCAAGATGTCAAGGCCATTGGTCTCTGAGAGAACCAAACCCACCCAATGGTATTAAGTAGCCACAACCTCCTACACCGCTTTCATTTGCTCCATAGGTGAGACCCACCATGAATTTGAAACGGATAAGAAGAAATGTAACAGCAGCAGCATCCTCAGAGTCCACAGACACAGCAGAAACTCAACAGTGGACTGCGTGATCCGACACAAAGGCCTACAAGGAGGAAAACTGGTAGCACCTTTCCGATTTGAAGCCTTGGGTAAGAAGAACAAATGATTGTCTTTAATCATTTAATTTACCTTAATATTACACTATCAAATGAAATTAAATGGAATGGGAAGAGTTCTTCAGAGCGAGATCACTGTCCACAAAGCTCTCCTTAACAGCAAATTCCTTTAATGATGGAAATTTCTCCAGCTGGGCATCCTAGAGCACCTGTTCCAACATCCGGGACCCCAGTTGTGCGGAAAGCCTTGCAGGGAGCCATATGCAAATGACGTCATGCTTGCATTTTGATAATGACGGCCGGCCTGACTTGGCCTTACATAGTTTTATTGCAGTCACGTTTTCAGGGAGGTCATCTGAGACATACTTTATCTTTGTAGTCAACCCAAAAGGAGATAACAGCCACTGAAATAAATCTAAACTTGCCTGTATTATTTTATGTTAATATAAAACACTTACACAGTCAAATTAAGCCATGATTCCTCTTTAGATTTATATTGTTATAACTGTTCTGCAGGTTTTAGTTTAACCGTGTTAATATTCTGGGCAGAACAAATATTAATAAAACATCAAATAGTTAATGTAAAGAGGCATTTTCAGAATGTGTTCTCTGATTCATCAAAAACAAAAAATAATTTTAAAGCTCCAGAAAACCTTTTTTTGAGAGAGGGGGGGTGGGGAGAGAGTGTGAGGGGGCAGTGGAGAGGTAGAGAGACTCTCAAGCAGGCTTTAAGCCCAGCTCGGAGCTTGAGGCAGGACTCGATCCCATGACCCTCAGATCATGACTGCAGTTGAAATCAAGAGTCAGACGCTTAGCCAGCTGAGCCACCCAGGCGCCGCTAGCGAACTTCCTGAGCCAAGAAGTATCTAATAAGAAGTACCATGAATCACACATCTGTAACGAATAAGACTCTGACCTTCGTTATTTTATAAGGTACTTCTCAATGTACAAAGAATTCCTCAAGTGCAAGGATTCACTCACGCTAGCAAAGGAGGGAGCGGCTGGGTGAGGATACGTTTGTTGAGAAAGGCAAGGCACTGGTTAAGGAGAATGCCATCATGGGAGAAGCACCCTACAGCCCTGTGGGGGTTGCTGCTGTGGCTAACGGCTCCCCCCTCACTACCATGTACTTTCCACCAGTCACTTTCTCATCAAACCAAAAGTAGCAAGTCTTGAGGAAGCTGCCTCCAGAAGACTGGGGCCCCACAGACTGGGCTTGCTACCATAATCTGACACACAGTCCTGCCTCTCCATGACTCGTCCCCCTCCAGTCCAGCCTCTGCTATCAGTGGAGCATAGCTCATGGGGTGGGGGGTGCTTCTGAAAGATCCTCAGATTCTTTTATTTTTCTTTAAGATTTATTTATTTATTTGAGAGAGAGAGAGAGCATGGGGAGAGAGAGAATCTCAAACAGATTCCCCACTGAGCATTCCAAAGCAGGACTCGATCTCATGACCCTGAAATCATAACCTGAGCCGAAACCAAGAGTTGGACGCTCAACCGACTGAGCCACCCGGGAGCCCCCAACATTCAGATTCTTCAACAAAAGAATTAGTGATATTGAAAAAGTATGTATTTTTACTTTTCAGCTACAATTCAGTCCATCTACAAAAATTACTCCAGAGGGGAAATCAGTTTCTTCTCCATTATGGCCATACTTCCAAAGGACTCAAAATCATAGTCATAAAATGCTTCTAATAATAGGATAATAATAATAATAATAACAGGAGGATAATAGGATGATAATAATAATAATAATAGTAGGATAAGACTTGACTTTAGTTTCTGATCTAACTGAGTCTTCAGAGAGCAGCTCCAACACCAGCTCTTGGCCGCTTCCATGTGTTTATGGCTTTTCACCCTTTGGCAAACAACTACGTTGACATACAGATACTACACACATTTTGTTCATCCAATGAGCTTAAAAAGTTTGGTTAGCTGAGGGTGCTTTAAAACACATTTCCAAGTAAGGATTCTGGCCCATTTCATTCCCATACTCTGTGTGGTAGGACCTGGGAAAATGAAGATCGGGCAAGCACCGTATCCAGGGACGTAAGCAGTGTCTGCCGTTGAAAAATCCACATTTCGATGCTTGTGGAAGTGTGATGCTTAGAGGAGAACAGAGCAGGAATGGATCAGACCCTCTTCCAAATGATTTACTTCATTGTTTAGTATTCCAAATGAGGAATCTTGATTTCCTATTACTTAACTGGAGGTGGGATTAAAAAAAAAACCAAAACTTGAGCAACAGTGCTCAAACTTAGAGATTTGGAGACCCCTCTGCACTCCTGCAAATAGCTGAGGACCCCAAAGAATTTTTAGTTATGTGAATTGTATCTGTCAATATTTACATATTAGAAATTAAAATTGAAAAAATAGTTTAAATATTTATTTATAAAATAATCCACTACATATAAACAGAAATGGCATTTTTTGTGGAAAAATAACTGTTATTTTAGCAACATCAAAATGTTAGAAAAATTGCACTGTTTTGCATTCTGAAATCTCTTTAGTATCGGGTTTAATAGAAAACTATTAGGTTTGAGGCGCCTGGGTGGCTCAGTGGGTTAAGCATCTGCCTTCAGCTCAGGTCATGATCTTAGGGTCCTGGGATCGAGCCCCACCTCCTTTCCTTCTCCCTCTGCCCCTCAGCCGGCTTGTGCTCTATTTCTCTCTCTCAAATAAGTAAAATCTCTTAAAAAATAAAAATTAAAAAGCTGAGAAGCACTCACAAATTGCATAAAGACATTGCCTGTCACATATCAGTATCAATATTTATAAAATTTCAGGTACCTTTTCTATACACTCCCTGGTTGCAGGTCTGTTCATTGGTCAAATCTACACTAAGCTGAATATCTGGAAATATCCCCAAACACTATTTTGATTGTTTTCTTTTGTTTTTTATAGAGAGAGAAGGGGGAAGGGGCAGACGGACAGAGAGAGTTCTAGGCAGGCTCCACGCTCAGCATGGAGTCCAACATGGGGCTCGATCTCACAACCCTGAGATCATGCCCTGAGCCTAAACCACGAATTGGACACTCAACTGACTGAGCGATCCAAGCGCCCCAACTATTGTTCTACTATACAATATTACATTTGTAACCATTGTGCTTAATAAATAGCAAAGCCCTGTGCTAAGCATGTTGAATGAACGAACTCATTAAAATTTCTTGCAAAAAAAAAAAAAAAAAACACCCCAAAGGCAAATGCTGTTAGTAGTTCCATTTTACAGGTAAGGAAAAACTGAGCATTCAAGAGGTTGGGTATCTTGCTCAAACTCACTTGGCAGGGGCGCCTGGGTGGCTCAGTGGGTTAAGCTTCTGCCTTCAGCTCGGGTCATGATCGCCAGGTCCTGGGATCGAGCCCTGCATCAGGCTCTCTGCTCAGCGGGGAGCCTGCTTCCCCCTCTCTCTCTCCACCTGCCTCTCTGCCTACTTGTGATCTCTGTCAAATAAATAAATAAAATCTTTTAAAAAAACAACTCACTTGGTAACAAGCAAGTTAACAACATCAGAATTCAACCCAGTCTGTGACTGACTCCAAGGCCACCTAACGAATAAATAAGGAGGGAGCTAGGGGACCGGGCAGACAGACAGAAGGACTAACAGGTAGATGGAGACAGAGACAGCAAACCGCCTTAGCATACTCCTGTGAAACACAGCGCTGTGGCCCCCCATGCCGAACTTCTCAGCCAGCCAGCCTAGCAGATGGGCTAGCAGCAGGACGGATTCAAAAACCAGAGCAAGAGCTGCAGGGCGCATAGTGCTGAGGTCTCCGCAGAACCTCCCAGGCAGGTAGCAGCCGTGTCCATTCCCCAACCTATTGTCCCAAGCACCATGTGGGTGAGACTGCTCTCCGTAGTTGCAGATTTCTGTTTTTCCCCTTTCCTAGTTACCAATCACGAGACGGCTTCAGATGCCCCGGAGAAAAGCTCCCCGTCCTCGCAGGACCCTCAGCAGCCCACTAGTACTGGTAAGTGTCAACCTGTTAAGATTAAAAAAAAAAAAAAAGTCCTTGGAAAGAGCAATTTTTCCAATTCTCATTTCTAAGATTTTTTTTTTTAATTTTAACTTTTTTTTTTTTTTTTCGTAAGAGAGGGAGAGAAAGAGGTGGAGGGGGAAGGGCAGAAGGAGAGGTAGTAGGGTCTCAAGCAGGCTCCATGCCCACCGTGGAGCCTGATGCAGAGCTCCATCCCAGGACCCCGAGATGGTGACCTGAGCCAAAATTGAGAGGTGGATGCTTAACTGACTGAGCCATCCAGGCGCCCCTGATTTTAACTTTTTCAGATTTCTTTTTTTTTTTTTTGACAGAGAGAGAGAGAGATCACAAATAGGCAGAGAGGCGGGGGGGGGCGTTGGGGGGGAAGCAGGCTCCCTGCTGAGCAGAGAGCCCAATGTGGGGACCCTGAGATCATGACCTGAGCCAAAGGCAGGTTAACCCACTGAGCCACCCAGGTGCCCCGATTTTAACTTTTAATAAGGCAATGCAGGATACCCTGCACTGGCTCTAGCTTAGTGGTTTCCTGGAGGGGCAGAGAACACCACCAGCAGAGTTCCCTTAGTGGGATAGGCTTTGGGGTAACTAATGCCTCGTAAGTTCAGTGCTGGTTTGCTTCATACACACACACACACACACACACACGCACGCACGCACGCACGCACGCACAACTGTGATATTTGAATTTCCTCTACGGTAAAGGGCAAGGTTGAATTCATTTATGGAGAGACTCGTTTCTTTGTTTTCTCATCCGGAGCACAGCAAACACAAAATAAAGACTTGGTTTCAGCAAAGGGCAAAGAAGCAGGATGTGGAGATGTGGGACTTTGGGCCACAGAATAACAAGCTCGCCTTTGAAAACACCTCAGTTGCTCGGTTGTCAAGAACTCAGACAGGTTTTGGATGACAGGATTGAGCTCTCAAGGCAGAATATACGAAGCCTGGATTATAATCCCAGTTTTTTAGACAGTGAACCCACTGGATGGTTAGCTCTGGGCAATAATCATATATTTATCTTTGTATCTTACTTGGCGTAGTATCTGGCACTAGCAGATACTCAGAAAATGCCGTATAAATGAATAAATACACGTATGAATACCTTCATTTGTTATGGGGTTTCGAGCAAGAGAGCCTCGTCCAAAAAGGGCATAAACTCCTATATGTCCTCTTTTTGTTTCAAACAGTGTGTCTGTAGGAATCTCCTTGAGTGGAATAAGCGCTTTCCTATCATTATCATGTCCATAGTTCTGAGTATCAGATTGCATTTTTAAACATTTTTTATCTGGAATAATATTTAAAAGTAAGTGCTCGGGGCTTTTAAACACCAACACAAACAATATGTACCAGCCCGTGTTTTGAAGGGCAATGGAGATTGAAAATGGTCTGAAGTAGAGCCACCATCTCACTTGCTTTAATAATTCAATATTTGTAAACGTGTTTAGAATCTACTTGTCTTCAAATTGGCTGACAGTGCCGCTAAACAACCCAATTTTCTGCTCTGCTTTTTCATATAGAACATAAGATTTAATATGGTTTCTAAATTTCCTTTCGGCTTTCAATTTCTACGATTTTATTACTGTTAATCACACCCATTTCCAGACGAACGGGTGGTTTCATTCCCCGCGGGATCCACACAGTGGCGCTGTGCAATGGGCTAAAAGGCAGGGGGTGGCGGGCAGGAAGGGGGAGGATGAGCAACAAAACCAGAAAACCCGGTCTTTGGTTTTTATGGCTTCTCTCGCCTAGCAAAAGCATCACAGTACATGCCCCTTCTAAGGGGGGAGGCAAGCAGAGGTTTGAAGGATAAGGGAGCCTATTTTTCAATATAGAAATGTTTGTTTCCCAGGCTGTTATGTTTTCTTGCCACAAGGCTTGGGGTCCCAATCTTTGGCATCCTGGCGTTGCTCTGGTGCTAATCTGAAGCCCTTCTCACTAAGAAGCCTGATTCAGGAAGCAGGTGTAAAACAGTGGTTTACATTTTGCGTTCTGAATTTCGACGTTGGCTCCATCACTCACTAGCTCCGTGACGTCAGACAATGTACTTAGTTTCTCTAAGCCTCTGTTCAGAGCTGTGGTGAGGAACCCGCGGAATGCTGTGTTTGGGGCCGAGCCTAGAGCTGGAGTGCAGTTATCATCGAGGCGAAATGGGCTGTTTGCAACTATTTCTGGAAGACGTCAGTAGTTCAAAAATGGTCTTGTTGTTTTGTTTGGTTTTGGTGTTTGTAAAAAGGACAACTTAATTTGGTTTCCAAAGCTGCTTCAGGATGGCTGTGTAAATATACACACTATTCATATACCGTCACATGTATATTTCATGTCTTAATTTCTTTCGACTTAGTTGCAGTAATGGAAGATTCCAGTATAACAGAGAGTGACAAGGAAGAGAAAGAACGACCCACTGAAGACCCTGCCTTGGCAACTGGTAAGCATCCCCCACAGCACTTAGAATAAACACTTGACATTTTAACCTCTTCATCAGTAAATCCAATGGCCTTTTTCAGTCCCCATTTTCTTGACCTTTTTATTGGTTAATCAATCCCTTGTTCTTTGACGTAGTTGCCTCCCTGGCTTCCTTGACATATTCTGCCTGGGTCTGTGACTTTTTGCTAACCACTCCTTCTATGTATCCTTCAGAGAATTTCCCTTCCTCCTCTGGCTTCTTTTATGTGGATACACTTCTGACTTGACTTCTTTATCCTTGATTCTTCCCTTAATTCTCAATGAGTTTACCCATTCCCAAGGTTGTTCCTATTGTCACCAGGCAGGAAAGCTCCATATTTATACTTCCAGAACATTCTCTTCAGAAGTAATCCCTGTTTCATTCCACCTTCTACATCCCTATTGCTGGATTTTCTGCCATCTCCTCGAACTTAACATCACTAAAAACCAAACAGCACCTTTTCCCACAAAATCACCTCATCCGGATGATCACAGAGTCCCCAAACCTTGATGTCATCCTCCATTCCTGTGGATGTGTGTACACACAAACACACAGAAAATCGGTCCATCTCCAAGGACTTTTGAGTGTCCTCTTCCGGAATCTTGTAGACCATCACTGCCACCGTTGGTCCAGACCCTCATCAGCTCCTGTACAAAGTTCTAGGACTTCAGTTTCTCCTTCTGTGGTCCATTTTTAGGACTATGTTCAAAACACCCCATTGCATTCTTCACACTTCTGTTCAGAAAACATCTGTGGCTCCCCTCATTTACCACACAGAGCAGGAGCCTCAACGCCTCCACCAAACGGCCTCCATCCCCTGTCTCTGCAGTCTTGTCTCTAAGGTCCCAATAAGAACACACAGTTTTCTCTGACAATATCATCCCTTTTTGACTGCCCTGCCCTTGATGACCTGAACTGCCCCTGAAGAAAGAAAGGGGCTCATCTTGCCTCTCCTTACCCTTCTCTCAAGGCCAAGATCTTCATTGAGAACTTTCCTGACTAACTCAGGGACCATGCCAGCCTCTGAATCCCTGAGCACATGATGCCGTTGACATTAGGGATCGAGAATTTGGCAGATTTCTGACATCTGTTGATTCGTGTATTTGTTTCCATAGAGAGAGAACTACCCCAAAAGCACAGGAACCATGCCTTGAGGAGGCCCAAACACGATGTCGACACTAGCTAGTGCTCCTTAACTACTTGTTGGCTGAGAGGGGGTCAGGACATCTGGGCAAAACTAGAGCCCATAGAATCAGAAAGTGAGGTTTAGAAAGATCTTAAAGACCTCACCTAATTTATGTCCAAAGCCCTTCATGTAGGACCACATTTAACCTAGCCAACATTCACGGATTTTATTTTATTTGCATAGTTTTCCACACTCCTTAACAACCTCTCCTATGCTTAACCACATTTTGCTAAGGAATCATTCCTTATAGCTCATTTAAGTTCCTGACTATAATCTAAGTCAATATTCTTGCGTATTTTCTTTAGAAACGAAACATCACGGCTTTGAAATCTGTGTAACTTAAGAGCATTTTTCAAATCACCTCACAGAATTGCTTTGTTCATGCGCCTGTCGCCTTGTTTTCGGAGAATAAATAATATGAATCTCTTTCCCTTCAGGGTAAAGCTCTCTGTCTTTTTACCCGAGTCGCCTATCAGCTGACACTATGCTTTGAAAGAATTGTGCAAACCCTGCAGTGATGAAAACCAACCAACCTTGAACTGTCTAAATTCCTTTTGTTTCCCATATAGAAGCCAGTCTTCAGTACGTGGGGGTGATGCGGAGGAAAAACGGCATCCTGCTGCTCACCCTTGTGTCCTTCCTCATCTTCATACTCTTCATCATCGTCCAGCTTTTCATAATGAAGCTCCGGAAAGTGCACGTGGTGTGGAAGAGAGGTGAGAGGCAGAGGACCCGACGAGGCGCTCGGGGGCGCTGCGACACGGGGCAGGGACAGAGGACATTCTGGCAACTAAAGCTTTTCTGTCCGATGCCGCACAGCCTGTTTGATACGTGCTGTCGTTCAAATAAGCACTGGCTGGTTTTGCAGTAAATACAGGATGTGAATCTCCAGGGGCTCTAATCAAAGAGTATATAACCCAGAGATTTCAGAGTCGCTCCCGGAATTGACATTAAGTTATAAAAGCTTCTAGTCACCAAAGGATCCCCAGTAGAAAACTCATTCACTCATTCAGAAAGCATTCACTGAGCCCCTCTGGTGTGCCAGGCGCTGTGCCAGGCACGGGGGTGATACGTCTGTCAACAGGAGAGACCAGCCACCCCCCCCCCCGCCGCCCCACAAGGAGTTCACATTCTAGGGATGGCCAGTCAAAGGGGGGATATAGACTGTGTTGGTTCTGTTCTTACTTTGCAAGAATGTATTCAGCCTCCATCAACCATACTATGTGAGTAACGTTTCTCAAGCTTTCCGATTAAGAAGTTATCATCAGACAATATATATATTTGTGAATGAATACATTCTTGCAAAGAATAATATATATAATATATAATAATATATTAAAATAATATTAATATAATATTAATATTATAGTAATATATTCTATATTAATATTATATTAATTTATTATTTAATTAATTTATTGATTTATTATTATATTAATATATTATATATGTTATCTATGCATATCTATCCCTTCCAGCTCTGGTATGTGTTGAATCTATGCATTTTAATAGTGTACCTTCCATGCTACATAAATTACATATATTAATATATATTAATTGCATAGATTCGTTTTTTATTTAATTTATATTATTTATTATTTAATATATATTAAATGCATAGATTATTTAATATATTATTTAATATATATTATTTATTATTTAATAAATATTTAATATATAATATTATTATTATTTAATATATATTAAATGCATAGATTCAACACATACCAGAGCTGGAAGGGACCTTAGAAGTTATCCAGAATAATCGTCCACTCAATGCATTCCATCTGTGTGGACCAGGATTAAATCCCCTCCTTAATTCTGAGTGATTATTCAGACCTGTGCTGGCCCATGCAGTGGCCACAATGTGGCTCTTGAGCCCTTGAAATGTGGCCAGTCGCTTTTGAGAGGGGCTGAAAGGATAAAACACACACCCAACTTCGAAAGCTCAATACACATACATACATACCACACACACACACACACACACACACACACACGAATACAGTACGTCTAATAATAATATATTGGATCTATTAGGTAAATGAAATGTATTATTAAATTAATTTCACCTGCTTCTTTTTGCCCTCGGAGCATGGCCACTAGAAAACTTAGAATTACACGTGTGGTTCGCATTCTAGTTGCCAACATTGTTGCCTTAGCCACATACGGCTCCAACACCTCCAGTAGCAGAGAACTCAGTATGTCCCAAGGCAAAATACTACCCCTTTGAATGGCTCTCGCCCTGTTAAAAATACAACTTCTCCTAGTTTGATGTCATTCTCTCGAAATATTCAACTGGACTAAACTTCATCATAAAGAGACCTAGAAACAGTGTCCGGCTTTTCAGCTGTACCTACACAATAGGCAAATGCCACGGTATTGTTTCAAGATCTCCCATTAATGCTTCAGTCCCATAAACTCCTTTAAGGGCCACTGGAATGGTTCCGTCCCAAAGAACAATACTTGATTCTAATCTGAGGTCATCTGATTTCTGGAACTCTTACACAGCCTAGCACAGTGCCTGTAGGAATCAGAGCACAAAACAAAAACAATTCTCAGAATGAATGAGAACATGAGGCATGGAAGGAGGAGTAGTGAGTCCACTGCTGTGTAGACAGAGGGATCGTGCTATTCAACTGTACATTTGTACATATAGGGGATGTCTGGGGCACCCGAAATTAATAATCTTGTTTTTCTTGCAGAAAACGAAATCTCAGAACACACTCTAGAAAGTTACAAATCGAGGTCAAATAATGAAGAAACATCATCCCAAGAGAAAAAGTGCCAAGGTAAGTCAATAACATGACCTCCGATTTGAAAAATGAGGTTCATTAATTTGTTGCCTTTAAGGGGGAGGGCAAAAATCAAAGTCTAATTTTAGCACTAGAAAGTCCATCAACTTAAATCATCTTGTAGAACACAGGAGCATCTTCCAAAAATAAGAAGTAGCGACCCTTAAGTTCCTATGGCTGCAGACATGTCCCTGTGGGAAGCTACCCCTGAGTTCTCACTGCCACACAAAGGCACATCCTGGGAGTATATGTCCCTCTTGTGCTCTGGGTATCTTTCCTACATCTTAACCATCCAGCATTTTCCACACCCCATACCATCTGGTCATTTCTGATGTATCGTTTTAGCTACCACAGTCCTCCTCAGGTGGTGAGTAGCGGGGTTTATCTATGTTATGTCCCCCGATTCTAACACAGGGCCTGAAGCAAAGGGAGGGGTTGATATATTTGTGTTGACTAAATGAACACAAGGATTAACTGAGTCAGACAAACATGTTTTGGGTCTTTTAAATGACTCCATGGTAGTTTCTCAAGCAAAGTATGTAAAGAAAGTGAAGGGAAGGGTTTCTAAAGGAGACTGTGTGCGTGCACGTGTGTATGTGTGCATTCTTGACAAAGATCTAGTAGAGTGCAGCTGGTACTACAGGAAAGCAAGAACCTTCTACCTTTCCTTCAGCCATTTTGGCTCCTCCATTGCAAAGTAACTTACACCACCCACTGAGAGTTGCAAGCTACGCAGAAGAGCTTGGCTGCGAGTTTCTACTGGTTTCACTGAGGTTTTTATAGGAAGCTGGCCCATCGCAACACCTCTGCCCTTTTCTTTTGTTTTGACCTAGTAAGGTGTGAAATGGAAAGAATCACTGTACTAGCTGGGACGGGAACAAGAGGGCAAATCATGAGAACTGGGGGTGGGAGGGGAAAGTGGGAAGTGTGTGCGAGGCACAGAGAGTCTGTTGCATTGCACATGTTTCTAGAACATCAGTGTTCTTGTCCTCAAATGGCGAGTAGGAGAATTTTGTCAGTATGATGTGTTAGTTGGATTATTTCTTATGCCAGTTTTCTTAAGCAAGGGGAACCAAAACAGTGAGTGTAGAACAATAACTTTTAGAAGGAAAAGAAAAGCCCTTCGCTCAGCTGCTGAAAAGGCAGAAAGCCTTTGCATCTCAACTTTAAGAAAGTTGAAAAGGGCTACCTTTGCTCAAGCTTCCCTTCCCAGGAAGGGCCATCCCCAGGGGCTGGCCACAGACTGTGGGAGGTGGTACTTCCTCCTGGACTGGGCCCCAACCTGCACTTCCGGCCTCCTTCCCTGAGCTCCCTCCAGCCCAGCATCTCGACTTCCATGTTTTTACTCACTTAAAAGACATCCTCTGGAGCTGTCTCCTGCCTCTGTGTATAGTTACCTGGGCTTTGAGTAGTCTGCCCCAACCCTATGTTTCCCATAAGTCCTACTACTTTTAGTATGAAATTTGCTAAATACAATGTAGGGTTCCCCCCCCCAGATTTTTTATAGAAATGTCTATATATTTTATTTCAGGTTTATTAGTATATTTATGTAAGAAGACTTAAAAAATCAGCCTATAACAATGCATTCAGGCCATTTATGATATGCATGAATTTCAGATTTGATTTTTTTAAGCCATTAGCCTATGAACCCAAAAATGCCACATGCCAAGTGTCTCAAAAAATGGATGCAGTGTTATTCAAAAGAAATGGTCATCTTTAAAAAAAAAAAAAAGAAATGGTCATCTTTGACACATTTTTCTCTCAGGTTTCCGCTCTAAGAGCTACATGAACTACATCACACAGTTGTACTCAGAAGCAAAAACAAAGAGGAAGGAAAATGCACAAAATTCAAAATTGAAAGAAGAGCCCACCCATATACCAGAGACCATTGTGTAGTGCTCCCTGCAATAGAAAATATGATTTTGGGGGCGACCGCATCATCACAGTGGAGCAGCCTATGGGAAGGTGCATGATTACTGTCACGTGAAAAATAGACTTTGAGTGCGACGCAAGACAGTGTCCTCCTATAGAGATCTGCTCTGGGTTCAGAGCCGTGAAATGAGGACTGGACCATGGACACAAAACCTTCATAGTTTAAAAAAGAGAAAAGAAAAGAAAAAAGAGAAGAAAAGAAAAGAAGAGAGAAAAGAAAAGAGAAGAACCATTATGCCTGACACTACTTCAGAGCAGGAATATTCTCCAAAGCCTTGGAGATCAGGGAACAGCCTACCCTGAAGGGAGAAGGAGGCCCAGTTGAGAATCACACATTTAATTTTAGTCTATCAGTTTGGAACTGTTCCTCAGTCTTTCCTGCATATTCATGACATTGGGATAGCCTTGAAGATTGCAACCTAGTGATTTTGTAAACTGTCCTACAGTTGGCCTTTGTCTGATCGTTTCTTCGTGATTAGATTCAGGTTACAAAACTCTGACGGGACTGTCCCAGAACTGATGTTTTGGTTACCCCTTTGGGTTTTATTTACCCCCTCGTTGATGTTCACTTTGATCCCTTGATTAAGGGGTTGTCTATCAGTCTTCCCCACTGCGAAGTTCCTCTTTCCTCCTTTGTAAGAGTATTTTGTGCAGAGATGGTATTTTGTGCAGAGATGCTTTAAAAACACGCAGATCTCCTGTTCCTCATCAAACTTCCAAGTTACTCCTTTATTTATATCTGTATGGACTCACAGTATCCTGTTATTCAATGTTTTACAATCTGTTACTATCTCAGCTCACTCATTGGGTTATAATCTGTTACTAATCTCTCGCTAATGGGGTGATCAAGTGGCAGAAACAGGCTTTTTGTGTCCTTCTTATCCTTAACCTTTGAGCACTTTCTTCCTTTCTGGTACAAAATATTCCAGGCTCCTCTTCCTACCCAGCCCTGTAATGAGCCATTTCTCCAAGGATCCCTGGTTCCTTTTAGTGGAAAATGACATTTAGAAGCCAAAACCCAGGAGCTATGTGTGTACATTGCTTTTGGGGTATCACTGGCCTCAAGTCATCTTAGTAGACAGAGCTAGGGAATATATCACAAAGTGTGCATATACTTGACCCTTGAACAACATGGGTTTGAACTGCCGAGTCCACTTATACACAGTTTTTGTTTGTAAGAGTTGACAGCAAAAGCCACAGGGTATTTCTTTACAACGGCCTGCCCCAGTCTCCAAATTGAAGGCAACTGGTGTAAAGGTCACACCTTCTGCCCTGAGAGTACCCCGGACGACCCACAGAGGCCCTCAGCAGCCCCCCGAAACCCTGGATCCCTCCCCTCCAAGTCCTCCATGAGCTGGGTTCCCTGCCGGTGCTAGGGTGGCCGCAGGCCTGGGGTCCCTCCCAGGTAGGGCACGAACCCCTCCCCATGCAGCACCCTGACCCCGTTGCCATCAGGAGGCTGGCGGGCTCAGATGTGGTCACAGCTGCCTATCACCACGGGCACTGCTGCCCCTCCAGGCAGAGGGGGACAGCTGTCCTGCACTCCCAGGTTGCTGTCATTGCCCATGGCCCACCAGGCCACCAGGCTGCAAAACACCATCCAGGGGCCAGGCCATCACTGCCACCACCTCTGTCCTGGCCCAGCCTCCCTGCAGGTGGATTGTTTTTTCAATAAATATATGTACAGTACTGTAAATGTATTTTCACTTCCTTTTGATTCTCTTAATAATATTGGCTTTTCCCCAGCTTTATTGTAAGGGGACGGTATATACCACCTAGAACACGCATATACACAATATGTGTTGACCGATGGGTTGTGTTATCAGTAAGGCTTCCAGGCCATAGTAGGCTATTGGTAATTACTTTGGGGGGAGTCAAAAAGTCATACAGCAGTTTTGACTGGGTGGGAGGTTGGCCCCAAGCTCTTGGTGTTCAAGAGTCAACTGTATATATGGATATACGTGTCTATGTGTGTGCATATATATTTAAATCTATTTAAAACCATGGTTTTTTTTTTTTAAAGATTTAAGTTACTTATTTGAGAGAGAGAGAGTCAGCATGAAGGAGAGAGAAGGAGAGATCAGGAGCAGGGAGGAGAGGCAGGGGAGAAGCAGACTCCCCACTGAGCAGGGAGCCCGAAGCAGGGCTCCATCCCAGGACCCTGGGATCATGACCCAAGCTGAAGGCAGGCACTTAACTGACTGAGCCACCAAAGCACCCTACAACCATGGGTTTATTCTAGCTTTCTTCCTTGCTATATATTTTTTTAAGATATTGATGTACTTTTTTTGAAAAGATTTTGTATTTATTTATTTAACAGAGAGAGAGTGAGAAAGGGAACACAAGCAGGGGGAGTGGGAGAGGGAGAAGCAAGCTCCCCGCTGAGCGGGGAGCCGGATGTGGGACTCGATCCCAGGACCCTGAGATCATGACCTGAGCCGAAGGCAGACATTTAATACTGAGCCACCCAGGCACCCTCCCTTGCTATATTTGTAACTACCTTTTCTGAGAAACCCAGTTTCATTATCCTTAACCTATTTACTTATTCGCTCAATGCCCTGTATCCTTGTGGTCTCCCAGCTCTGCTAGCATCCCATTCTCCTGGAGCACATCCTCTCTTCCTGTGCAAGTTCTGACTCCACACACTGTGCCCCCATCCCAGCAGGGGGATGCTTTTCTCACCAAGCTTGGGCTCTGATCCCACACACCAGGTCACAGCACCATATGGAAGCCCTAGTCACACATGACTATGTGGCCACCCTCCCCACCCTCTCAGGCTCAGACACCCATGCCGGGCAGCCCTCCTAGGGGCACCGCCTGTTCACCAGGCTCGGACACCCCTCTCTCAGCTCCCACAACTTCATCCCCAGCACCACCGTGGACCCCTACTTGGCTATCCTCTACCCAACGGCTTTAGGACTGAATTGTTCCAGAAGAGAGGAAAGTGAGGTGTTAGCCAGAGGTCCTGATTTCTAAGAGATTTTTAACCTGACATCAAGATCAGGCATGCCATTTTTACAGTTTCACAGCAGCTCTGAAGCAGAAAGCATGCACCAAGCCACTGGTATTCTGAAAACGGTCCAGAGAGAAGAAGAGCTTCACTTCAGAGATGGTGCTCGTCATGGCTGCTTAAACGCTACCACGGCACCATACTACTCTAAGTCAGTGTTTGCAGACAATCCTCCCCAAGGATGCTTCCTGCAAATGCTTCCCTTGCTCGGGTGTCTTTTACACAAGAAGCCGAACCGAGGTGACAATGTTACAGCATCATGCAAAGCAGAACGTGGGCTTCGCCTGAGAGGACTTCATAAAACTGGGATTCCCAAGTTTGTCCCCAAAGATTGGCCTCAGCAGACCTAAAGATGGAGTTTGGGATCTGCATTTTTTTTTAAGCTTCTTGAGTGATTCCAATAGGTAAGGGTGCCTTGCTAGAGCATAAACCAAAATTTTTCAAAACATAGCTGAAGCAGATGTACTCTCATTAAAGCTGAATTGGGAATAATATGCTCAATTTAAATCTGGCAAAGAGCAGAGGGAAGGCAGGAAAATGAAAGCTTTCTGGGCTCAAATAAGTTTGAAAAATGCTGAACATTGCAGCTCCCCATAGAGGTGATACGCATTAGCATAGCCCTGGCTCTGACAAGTCTTCTTATAAAGGAATCTCTTGTTTTATCCAACCCAGCAAAGCTCAGACTTAACCACCTAGAGCAATTCATAATGCTCCCCCCACCCGCCAGTGACCATTTGCCCCTGTCGTCCTCCTTACTAATGATCTGTGACTCTGTTCCAGTATCCACCCCATAAAATGTAGTCCTGTGCTTTTAGGGTAGGTGAAACTCATCTCCAACCAAAAAGAGAAATCACGGTTGGTCTGAACTAGTCATGGTCCCATTCCCCTTGTTAGAGGTCAGTGTATGCTGCATACGTTAAATTTTGGGGACATAAGCGGAAGTTCACAGAGGGGTTCTGGGAAAAATGTTCCTTTTCTTTCTTTCTTTTTTTTTTAAGAGAGAGAGTGAGGAAGAAAGCACATGTGTATGTGCACATGAGTTAGGGGTGGAGAGGGAGGCAAAGAGAGAGAATCTTAGCAGGCTTCACACTCAGTGCAGAACCCAGCATGGGGCTTCATCTCAGGACTCTTGAGATCGTGACCCAAGCTGAAATCAAGAGTCAGACTCTTAACTGACTGAGCCACCTGAGCACTCCAAGAAAGATGTTTCTTTTTTTTTTTTTTTTTTTTTTAAGATTTTATTTATTTGACAGAGAGAGAGAGATCACAAGTAGGCAGACAGGCAGGCAGAGAGAGAGGGGGAAACAGGCTCCCTGCTGAGCAGAGAGCCCGATGCGGGACTCGATCCCAGGACCCTGAGATCATGACCTGAGCCGAAGGCAGAGGCTGAACCCACTGAGCCACCCAGGTGCCCCAAGAAAGAGGTTTCTTAATGATAAAAAGAGATACTCAGAATGAAATCATCTTCCTTCCCCTAAAATGTTGTCATAACTGTGAGAGATGCTTGGAACTGCTATGGCCCTTGTAAGCCCATCAAGGAATCTGAGCCAACATGGTCAGAAGGGCATAGAAAAGGAACAAAATGACATGCGATCTCTGATGATTTTGTTAAGCTGATGAATATTCAGAACTTCTTGTTAAACCACATTGTTATTTAAACCAGGTGAACTTGATGTTAAGTCACACTCAGATCCAAAATGGAGCATCTTTTGAACTCTGAAACAGTTGTTTTATGAAACCTTAGTGTCCTAACAAACGCAACTTGGGAACCACTGATCTAGAGCAATTCTTTTGTATTATAGATGAGGGAACTGAGACCCAGAAAGGTTTCCATGGGCCATCAAAAGCCACATAACTAATTAGTAAGATAATGGGGATTAGAAACTTGATATCTTGGCGCCTAAGAAGACCAAAACAGGATTCTGCTTCTCTCCTTACGATATAATTTTAATCC